TGTGAGTGTGGATGTGTGAGTGTGGATGTGTGAGTGTGGATGTGTGAGCGTGAATGTGTGAGTGTGAGCGTGAATGTGTGAGTGTGGATGTGTGAGTGTGGATGTGGTGTATGAGGTGTGTCATTGTCGATGTGGATGTGCGAGTGTGGATATGTGAGTGTGGTGGATGTGTGAGTGTGGATGTGTGAGCGTGAATGTGTGAGTGTGGATGTGTGAGTGTGGATGTGGTGTATGAGGTGTGTCATTGTCGATGTGGATGTGCGAGTGTGGATATGTGAGTGTGGTGGATGTGTGAGTGTGAATGTGTGAGTGTGAATGTGTGAGTGTGAGTGTGAATGGATGTATTATGGATATGTGGATATATCATGGATGTGTGAATGTATGTATATGGACAGATGATTGCAAGTGCTTTAGGTGCTCCTCTCTAACAGTTACTTCATATTGATTGCTATCACTGCCAGTCGGTTCTATTTGTTTTCCGTCACTCCAATTGCATATACGCACTATTATTAATTATCGCTATGACTACTTCGTGGATTTCGGACTTCTTCAATTCACTTTTACAGCTTTAATTAAGATTAATATTCATTTATTCTCAAACATAGTGAATGCTTTTCGTTTTTCGACTTCAGGTTAAAGTTTCGAATTGCTTTTTTAATTTTTTCCAACTCTTCTGAGAAATCTTCATCGCATTTACGGTGGTTGTAATTTTGAATGTACAATATCATGGATCATTTTGCTTGCTCTTTTCAGAAATCAAGGAAATAAATATATTCAACTAACCTGAGAAACTCAGAAAACTTGTTGATTACTTCAGATCTGTCGTGAAATCGTCGGATATTGGGAGGAGATACGGTGCACTAACGATTATTCTAAATGCAGTAGTGCTGCACGTTTAGCTGATATGAAAGCGAAAAAGTTAGTCATTTATAAAATTTCCATTTTCACAAAATCTATTCAGTCTACAATCACCTCACTTAGCATCTCATCAGTCGCACTTGCTTCAACACTAATCCCACTACAGTTATGTTTTTACACAACCAAACAGTCTCCTCCCTTTTTACATCCTCCATCCTTCCCGCATTTTTCTCTCATTCATTCTCTGCCCTCTACCCCTTTTCCTCAGCCTTAGCTCATTCGCTTCTTTCTTTTCCTCTTTACTTATTTTTCTACCTTTCGCTTTTTTATCGCTCTCTACTTGCTTTGCTACTATCTCAGCTTCTTCATTTTTCCGATTTCTAAGGTAAGGCTTTGAATTGCTGTCTTGAATTTTTCAAGCTTTTTTCAGAAATCATCACCTGCCTTAATTTCAACAATTTCAGTTTTAAACGAACAATCTATAGATTATTTTACTTGGCCATATTCGGGATCAGCAAATGAATATATTTATATACCTGAAAATTGATTAGAAAGCTCGCTGACCAGTTTTTTGTTCTAGAGTCATCTTCGCTTGTTGTATGTGGATATACAAAAAAAGATTTGATGATTTCTGATAATTCTCAATGCTAATATTGTTGCAGGTTCATATGAAATAGCAAAAAAATCAGTCCGAAATAAAAAATTTAGTGTCCACACTATTTACTCGTTCCGCAAACAGCTCATTCATGATAATTTTTCTCATCAATCACTTTTACACATTCTTCACACAATTAAACAGTCTACTGTTCCTCTTCTTCTTACTTCCCTCATCTCTTTTTTCCTATTCTGCCCTGTATTCCTCTTCTTCATTCTCCTCCTATTCCTTATCTCTTTTTAACTCCTCGTTTTCCTCTTTTCTTTTTGCCTCTTTCTGCCTTTTTTCCCACTTTCTCCTCCTTTAACTCTATCTTCATTTTCACTCTGTTTGATTTTTTCACTCTTTTCATTTTTTGTTTCGTGTTCTCAAGCACCTAATTTTCACTATCGCCTTTCTTCCTTTTATACCCTCTTCTCACTTTCTTTAACCTCTGTCCCTCCTTTCTAATTCTACAATATTCATTTTTAGCCTCTCTCAACCTTTCAAATTAGTTGCCTCCTTTTCTTGCTAATAAGTGAAGGACACTGCCGTTCTAATTTTTCTCTTCCGCCTTCTTTTTCAACCTTCTCTTTCTTTCTCTTTTTGTCTGCTCTTTTTTCCCTCACTCTTCCATCATTCCCACCCTGATACCTTTTCTTTCAGTCTTTCTTCTTTTTCCACATACTCATTTTTTTTCCATCTCTTCCCTTCTTTCCTGTTCCTCTCTGCCTTCCTCCCTCCTCTTCACTTCTCATATCAAGTTGTTCCACGTCACTGTTCTCATTTTCTCCTCATCCCCATCTTCATTCCTCATCAAACTTCTACTTCTAGCTTTTTTCATCATTTATCTTCCTTGCCCATCTCCAATTTTATTGTCTTCTCCTCCCACAATTATGTCATTCTAATTTGTTTTGAGAAATGCACATAAATTTTTCTTGGTGACGATATCAAACTTTTGCGTAAAACATTACCTTATATTGTTCACTATTAAGGCTCTTCAAATAGAAAAGATGAGAAAATGTGCATTTTTTCTAAACTATAAATTTTCTTATCGGTATCTTATCAAACTTGATTTCCAAAAATGCAATTTCTCAAAGAAATCAAGTTTGGAAAAAAACAAATTGAATGTCTAAAAATTAGAAAAAAACAGATTCAATTGCAATTAATAGCAATGAACACATTTCATCTTCATATTCGCACGTATAAGATAATCAGGACAAGCGAACAAATACAAAATGTGATTTGTTCGCTAGTTTACAATAGGATATAAATAGAACAAAATTAGATCGATAAAGTCATATAATTTGATTTTATTTCTTTTTTTTAATTTTTTTTTCATATTTTTTAGTTTTCTCTTTCTTATGTTTTTTTTTACCTTTCACTTTTTTAATTTTTTTATTGCTCTTTTTTTCACTCTTTATTTTTGTTGTTTTCGTTTTTTTTTATTTTTTTATTTTCATCTGTTTTAAATTTTTTTTTACTTATTTTTTCACTTTTTTTCAACGAGTAATTTTTTCCTTTTTTTTGATCATAATTTTTTTTTGATATACGTAGGATTGATAAAACAACTCTAAACAATAAACATTTAAACTTTAAAAAACAGCTTATTCCATGAGACCTTGCAATCGCAGTCTTATTTTTTAACGTAAACTTTTTTTGATTAAAGACTCTGCAAAAAAATGATCAAAATTTTTCAATTTTTTCAAATAATATTTCCAAAGCAAAACTATATATGCTTAATAGGCATATTTTATTTCTTGCAATTTATGCGTATTGCTTGTAGTACTCATGGAATTTCTGCAAAAAAAAAAAAAAAAAAGGTTGAGAAGCAACGGTAATAAAAAATTGCTTAAAATAAATCAGTTAAGACAACAAACATCAATTTAAAAGAAATTATAGCAATTAACATACAACCTACTACAAATGATTGGCGAAAAAATTTTCAAATTGCTGCTACAGATTCGCTTTCACTGTCCAGGAGAGCCAATTTTGCATTAATTTGAAAAGATGCCTCAATAAGAGGCTTCTGGTATTCTTACTTCACACATCTGAAAAAGAAATGAATAGCAAAAGGAATATTGTAGCTTTATACTTTATTAACCAAATTCATTACTAATCACCTCAAAATCATTGTCAGAGTAGCCACACTACCACTTCTAAGCAACACAGTTAGCCACTTACTTGAAATGAAAAAACGTTTCGCCTCAATTTCTCGCCCAATTAACTCTAGCTTTCGTTTCTTAGCCGCTCGCTCAAGCATAACAGCCTTACTAACTGCTGGGCACCATTCTAGACAGCGCATCTCCATTGCAGCACTTATTTGTTCCTTAGTGTAGCCAAACGGCACGGTAAGGTAGTGATGGCATTTTTGGTAATAGCCTAAAATCACTTTTAGGGCATCTGTCAAGTAAAAGTTGATATTTCGTACAAAAAATATGCTTTTGCTAGATTACAATTTAATAGCGCTTACCACATTCTTTGTGCATTCGCGCCGCGTGAATGCGCCATCCTTTCATAGTGTTGAACTTCTTGTTCGAGCACAGTCTGCATGCTTAAATACGAATTAGGATGTATTTAAAGGCGAATCAATATGATCTGTTGAAGTCAAGTCAACTGAATAATAATTTGTTTGAAAAAATTATCAGAAAACTTACCGATGCTAGTTGAACCATCGTTATCCCGTACAACATTACTTACCGATGCTAGTTGAACCATCGTTATCCCGTACAACATACTTTTTGCAGACTACATCCCTTCATAAAACTGAGAAAAACCAAGTAATTGGCAAGATGGAAGAAAATGAGAGTGTGAAAAATATTTGGCAACACGTCTACATAGTTATCCTTTCTATACATACATCATTTCCTTGCCTGAATCAAGGGTTTCGTGTGGATGCAGAACTTAGAGTTAGACAGTAAGTTAATAAGAAATTAAAAAGGCAGCAAAATAGTTTTCTATTCAATTAAGACATTGAAACAAAAATGACAAAAAAGTGCCGTGGACAATTATGCTGGAATGCACAATTTTGTTATTTCATTGAGAAGGAAACTTTGAAAAAATCAAGAATACTTTTTTGCAGTTAATATTTATCACACCAGTAATGGCCAGCGAAATTTCTACATTCAATCCATATTCATAGATCTATGTTCCAATAGTAACTTCGACACTCCGACACATATTGATGTGTCGAAGTAACTACGTGAACGTGAACTGAACGTGCATATTTTTATAATAGGAATCCGACTGAAGACTTTGAAGAAGAAATCACACTTGGTGGTGTCGATAACCGCCAATTCGTGACTCTATTTTTGAGAGACATTTTCATCGGTCGCTATTATACAGTTTTCGATGTTGGCAACTCTCAAATAGGTTTTGCACAAGCCTGGGACCACAAACTCAAACCTATCAGCAAACGAGTTCGTGCGTTTAGACTCCTGATTTTGCAAATCGGTGAAACACCATTTCATAAAAACAACTGAATTATTGATAAGGAAATATTTAATACTTCCAAATTTTGCTTAGCATCCAACACCAAGTACAGACTGTGTGATAGCAAAATAAAATTACTAGAAAAAAATTGGAAAGAAAAATCGGTAATTTGCGTATTGTTTTCATTATTAATATTCTAAATTGCTCATTTCTTTGAACAAAAAATCAAGATGGATTACTACATTTTCTTAGAAAATGCAGAGAGGTATTGTTTTTGATAGGCACAAATTATCCACCACGAGAATATGTGATAAATGTAATCTTTGAAACATAATTATAATGTTTGAATATCTTTATTTTCGAATTGAGGATGTTAACA